TGTTTGGGAGAAGACCCTAAGATAGAGCCCTCGCCAACCCAGCGACCGCGAGATACGATGGAGGAGCATCCCGTGACGGATCTCACTAGAGCCCAAGGTGAAGCCGCGGCGCAAGAGACAGCGAATGAGAAGATGATCGAGTTGAACGAGTTCACGTGCTAGGCAGCTGGACGTACGTCGGCACGACTTCAACCGACAGACAGTGTAAAGGTGATGGAGTCGGCCAGCCAGGCCCAATGTCGTGACATGAACAAGCGGGTGACAGGATCGGTTGAGCGTTATCACCCCTTAACGGTGTCGGAAGCGACAACGATGGCTGAGACGCTGCCTCAGATACCGTCGTTGGAAAGGGCTCGCCGAAAAAGAACGAGGAAAAACAAGAAGAGATCGAGCGACCACCGCAAGAAGGGACGCAAGCGCAGCTCTAAATACACAGGATAGGTGCTGAGGTGGAATTGGATTGTGTTTGGCAGGGCTGAGTGACGTATGTTGTGTTAATGTTCTTGTTATCCTGTGTCACAAGTGTATGTCGAGCGAGTCAAAGTGTTCTGTGCGATGATGTGATTTGTAGTGTTGTATAATTGTTGTATAGACAGAACTTCGTACGTTTGTATTGTTTGGAATGTGTGATGAAGTGTTGTAGTCATGTACCTGTGGCTATGTTTCATGTGTTGTGGAATTGAACTACACTGTACGATTGTATTGAGTGATCTATTATGAATGTGAAGTGTCATGAGCGACGGTTTGTGTTACAGTCTTTCAGAGTGTGTGGTGACTGTTCGCGCTCGTTTGTGTGATTTTGAATATTATGAGATAATATTCTTAAAGCGGGGCGCAGTGTCACAGAACGAGCGCTAAAAATGGGCGCGCCGCCAAATTCTTGCGATAACGCGCGGGAGTAACGCCGCGAGGTCAAAAGGAAAAGAGAAAAAAAAGAAAACAAGCTCCCCGGGCATGCTCCCTCTCCTCTCGGAAGCGTGGCTTCGCCGACGAACCTCCTCACCCCACATCGGGGGCCGAGCAAGCACTGGAAATTTCTAGAAGGAAAGAGGTGTGGTCATGCCGAGTTGAGTCATCCGACGCGGAGGGCATTCGAATTGTCTCGCCCTCTCCCCAGCCTTCGCTGCGTATCGCGCCGACGAAATGACGAGAACCTTCTGGAATCGAGTAGCCGAGACGAGAGAGCAGGAGAAGGCGGAAGTTAGCGCCAGAGTGCGTAGGGATTCCACCGTGTAGTCGGCGAAGGTTTTGTCCGTAGGGACAAAGCAGGAGAAGAAGAGGATTTCCACCTGAGGGGTGAAGGCTCGAGCTACAGGCAAGAGCATGTGTCTACCGCTATCGAGCGAAGACGCGTGGCAACAGCTGCGTGTGTGAAGCCGACGTGTTTCCGGCGAAGAAGCTTGAAGCTTGGAGAGAGGCCAACTGAAGACGCGAGGTTTCCTGGAAGAGAAACTTCAAGGGCAGCGCAACGACAACAACGCTGGACTTTGAGTGAGTGATTCTCGGAAGAGTATCATCCAGACTTTTGTTCCAAGAACTTTGGACTGAATAGGTTTTTTATCTCTTTAGTCTTTAAGTGTCTTGGTTGTTCAATGCATGCGACTGCATTGTGGTGCGTATTGTTGTCTGTGTCCATTGTTTCGAGTGTGGCTGATTGTACTGTGTAGTACGTTGTTTGATTGGTGACATATTGTATGCAACTATTGTGAAGTGTGCATTCTTGTGTATTGTTTTCGATCTGCCATTATTGAGAATATAATTCTGTTTTGTTTATCAATCTAGGCTCTGACTTGTTCTTTGGGCCACAGTCGGCGTCCGCTGGCGCGCCAAAAAGGACCACTTCTAAATTGTCCACGCTTTCGTGGTGCGGCTGGGGGGGCCAATACTTCGGCCCTTGGAATTAGCCCGGCGATCGCCTCCCTAATTAACGGGACCTGTGTGATACCCCTCCATGATGTCTTGGCTGCTCTGCGAAGAAATCAGGTGGTCACGTGGACACTGGTGCAATTTTCGAGGAATGCAAGGTTGCTCTCTGCACCGCCGCGCTCCTGTTCCATTGCATCTCTGAAGCTCCTTGTGGACGCCTCACGGATGTCTCTGTTTTCTCTATCGGCGCCACCATCATGTAACGCGTGGACTACACCTGGCACCTGTTGGCATCTTTTTCCAAGAAACATTCAGCTCTGAAGTCGACCCTTCAAAGTTCCCCCCACAACCACGGCCGCTGCCCTGACGAGTTCGTGAACTTACTACAGAGAATGTCTGGTGATATACGAAGTAGTTCAACACTTCAGTCAAGTTTTCGAAGTGCTTATTTATACCGACCACAACCATCTTACCTACGCTTCCTCTTAACGTCGTGACAAGCTCCCGCCGGTTCAACAGAACCAGTTCTTGTTCATTGCCCAGTTTACGAATGACATCGAACATGTTAGCCGGAAAGACTATGTGGTCACCGCCGCACTTTCACGGGTGGCAGCTATCAGATTTTCGCAGATGACAGCCGAATTCCTCGCCGAGGCTCTAATTAGAGACGCTGAACTGCAGAAAATCACTGTCCACCGCGACATGTCGACAGGAAGAAGCAGGCCCTTCGTGCCACTGGCCCACTACTATGTTCTTCTCAACCAGCTCCACAGCCTCAGCCAGCTTGGCATACGTGCCTCTACACGCATTATGGCTGACCGCTGCCTGGTCCTCCATGCTGTGGTATTGCCCCATCTGGGCGCGCTTCTGCATTCAATGCTGATGCGCTAACGTGCCTAGGGACGTCACGTCACCACTTAGAACGTTCTCTTAGCCCTCTAGTCTATTTGAGCACGTCGGCCTCGACATTATAGGGCTCATTCTCCCGGCGGGATCGTATCGGTACTGCCTCACCGCTATTGACCGGTACGCTTGATGACCCGAGGCATAACCCCTCAAGGGTATCATCCTTCTTCACCGGCTGGATTCCTCGTTACACAGAGCGGACTACAAAGGAAACTTTTCTGCGTTGGGTGCCGTACCATTGTCGTCACTGTAGTAATAAGTTTTTGAGACTGGAAGTTTTGCTTATCATCAGTATACAGGCACTTCGACAAATAGTACACAATCACCCGCGAACAGTCTTATTTCAGTGTCTGGTAATGTGCAAACAATCTGATTTACACAATGTTAATACAATAAAGGCCCCTGAAAACTACTCGGTGGCACGCCTAATGTTACAGGCATGCTACATCATTCTGTCTTCACACAGTCAAGTAGATTAAAACCTCACTTGAACGAACTTTAAAAAACCTAAGAATTCGCTAAAATGAAAGCTTGAATAGCTGAAACAGCTATAGAGTGCGACTTCTTATCAGTAGCCAAAAAGCGTCAATTAATAAAATTCATGTGAACCCTTTTGTTTGCAGTGCTGCTTATTTGAATGTATATATTTGGTAATTCAAGAAGTTTTCTAGGATATAGTAATATTTTGCTGCACTTGTGCACTTGGGACTGCAGTGCTCATGAATTGAGTCACTGTGTCGAAGTTCTAATAGACCTGCCCGGCACAACTCTCTGCTGCGCCAGTCTGCACAAATAGGAAGGTCGGTGTTGCCATGCATATGGTGTGTTCCAATACTCACCGTAAAAAGCTAAATATGCAGCTAAGTGGACGGCGGCCATACTAAAGCCCTTTCCAATTTTCACGTAGCCGGTAAAATAGGCAGCTTTGAGATGGGGGCATCGCAGACAAAAACGGTCCACGCTATTTAGCTGCCCAAACAAGATGGCAGCTCAGTGAATTCCTCGGATAGCTCGGATCGGGCTGGTATTATCGTCGGCGCACAAGCAGACGCTTTTTCATTCTCTCATTGCGAGCTATTTTTATGCTCTTATTGTGAGCTAAGTAAAAGAAATAACAGTTGCGTCTAATTTAGCTTTCTCTTCGCGACGCTAGGCGGTGTCACGTCCTCTAAACGTCTTCTAGAAGCGTTCCATTACTTAAACAACGTGGGCTCAATACTGTTTTGTAAGCTGTCTACGTAGACTCTCTAGACGCTGATCAGAATCGGAACACATGCATAGTTTAACAGCTTACTTTGCACCTACGTATCGTCTACTCTGGGGTAGAAGGAACGATATTAGCCATTGCACCCCCGCCCCCACACCCGAAATCAGATGAGACCTGGCATAGATGCTCGTAGTGCCACAACTTTCGCCCATTTGTTTTTGTGCGTTCACGTACAAGTTTAATGCGTGCATATACGTATGTGCGCGTTTGTATGTGTGAGAGCGACTGGGTGGATAAATAGGGAAAAATTAATTAGAGTGAAATTTAACGGCGTTTTATTTCAAATTCGCTGACCGCGAATTATAACCTTACCATTATAACATTAGCCATTGACATTATTCACACAGCAAGTGGCCCTCATTGCTAGCCCAAACTAATTACTGGGTGGCTCTGTCAGTGGCCAAAACAAAACTCAGGATTAACGAATTGTACTCATCGTAGTGAAAAAGTGGTGAAAATATGAGTAACTTGGTTTTTAGCTTTCGAAGTAAGCATTCAATCGGTAGGGAGATCACCGATAGCATGGCTGACCTACTGTGCTCGGCCACAATCTCGGACATGGCGTCCGACCGCGATAGTAGTCACAGACGCGCAGCAACATTTATACATTGTGTCTCTACCCCTTGTGGCCAGTTATTGAACAGCATGTTAGTAGCGACAAAAACATAAGAGCTCAAAAGCACTAATAACACTTGGCAACAGCGGTTGTTTCAGAGAGCCTCTGCTAGCTCAGCATCTCGTAGAGGGAGCTAAGGTCGACCATTCAGAGAACTACGGCAGGCGTTGAAGAAAAGATGAGAGACTACGTTTATATCTTGAGTGAACTTCAGGCCTTCGTTTGAGACCTTTGCGTTTAGTTGCATTCTACTTGCTTTATTTTGTTTGCGATGTGTTAAGTGTCTCCGAATGATTGGAGGGACTTTCACCTAAGATGTTCTGACGTCTGCCTTTGTGGTCACAGGTTCTGGTGTTCGAAGACGCACCAAAGGGCGTCACTGCAGCCCTAGCCGCCGGTATGCAAGTCGTCCTGATCCCTGACCCTCGCATGGACGAAGAGAACCGGCGTCGGGCGACTCTCTGCATCGCCTCGCTTCTGGACTTCAAGCCCGAGCAGTTCGGACTACCACCCTTCGAGGAGCGGCCCAAGGATGGGCCCAAGGGTGGCCTCGAAGATAGGCTTGAGCTGAAGGTGGAGTGAGCCAGCAAGACGGCGAGCACGTGGCAATATCTGGGTGTCGCTTTCATGGACACCAGGTGCATTCCCGTCGAGGCCCACAGGCGCGCCATAGAAGTTCTCTCCTTGTTCACATGAAAGATGTGTCCTGCTTGAACCCCCAAGGGTGGGAACTTCTAGTGCGATGTTTCCAGAGATTCGCCTCACTTCGCAGAATGAGCTGAACGTCTTTGGGCACTCACGCACAAGCTCTTTTACTTGTAATTTATGGTGTTTTTTACCTATTAACGCCGCAGGGACCTTTATGTTTTGTATAGATTCTGTATAAATTCAATAGGCGTGACGAACGTGGGGCCTAACTTATTTTCTTAGGTTCAGTTCCCACGAGAACATTCCGATATCTACCATATCTCTTTCTTGCGACACGTTTATCTACGTCTTTTAGTGCGTACTATTGTTGTTCAGTCCCAACCTTAGTCGAAGATTTATACCAAGGACCGATTGTGATGACAAGCGTGTGTTTACATACTCTGCTACTGTGTGACGCTGTGACCTGTTTGCCTTGCCTTGCTGAGAACCTCTCCTCTCTTCCAAGTGCCTCTAAGCATTATAGTTCACGCGTTTAACGTCCATTTGGCAGAGTTCTAATCTACTTTAGCAGCTTTAGACAATCCGTCTGAGCAGCTGGTTAACACCTGCGGGTGGGTGTAGTGAGTGTTATTTGTGCGAGAGCGCTTTTTGCCATAGTTCAATGAAGCAACCTAATAAACATGTACGCGTTTTGGAAAGAAAAATGTCACTAGCACAATGTGTGTTGATGGGGCTTGTTATACTTATCCTAAACGTGTTTGTTAGGACGATTCCCGTACGCTAAGCAACACGTCGGCCAATGCTGGTCGCTAAACACCGATTTGTCGTCGGTCTTGCGCTTAACTGAGCCGCTGTCAAGGCAATCGTTGCTAGAACATTCCCACTAGCAACTGTTGTTTCGTATGATGGTGTATAGTCCTTATATACTTTAAATGGAAGGGGAGCAGCTCCCTGAAGGGTTTCACGTTATGTCCTTCTCTGTCGAGGCTTAGATAGTAGGCTAAGGTGACTGTTTTCACCTCTTACTTTTTGAAGCCTCGTATATGTGCTATGTATCCCCTCCCCACCCATGATGTATCAAGCAGACTAAACAGTCTACCGGTAGAGAGATCTTGCCTAGAGCCTCTTCTTCGTACGAAGAAATGAAGAATATAGTGAACGCAAAATGAGTTGAAGGAATCACGAAAAGTGGTACAGCAAACTCAGAGATACCAGGTGTCGTGCGTAGACTCCGCGACAGATGGCGTCACGTGACTGAAAGCATCAGTTTCGGAGGCTCTCAGACTACACCAATAAAACACAAAGCAGCAGGTGAATGAAAACGGTCGAAGACGAAGGTCACTGGAGACAACGTTTCTACTACGAAATAACCCGAGAAAACGTAGCTTTTCTTTACCGCCTGAGCCTCTGGTAGCTTTCGTGGGCTGCGCAGATACCCAAGACGTTTGGAACGTTATACATTATAAGGCTGGTAGTGCGCGTTTACCATTTAGCCTCACTTTCCTCCCTGTGGTTACCGGCGAGTAAGTTTCAATGCCGAGTGTTCTTTCGCTTTGGACTTAGTCCCGCCGGTAGAAATCGCATGAATTGGTTCGGCTTCCTTGTCGAGTTCATCACAAGACCAGGGATGCCCGAACCAGGAATCGCTGACAGACGCGTCACTTGTCTGCCTCCGTTTCGGGGGCGTACCAGATAACGTTTACTATCAGTCGCCGTTCGTCATGAGGGAAGGCAATTAGTGTATTCAAAGTTGATGTTCGGGAAAGTGCCCCCTTCGTGACTGACTTGACTGCCCAGCGTTGTACAGTGACTTGGCACGCACTGAAATATATAGCAATGGAACGCTGGCGGCGTAAACTTAAGCGTTTTTTCTCGCTCGTGTTGGCAACATGGTTGTTTGTGGAACATCGCTTAGCTCAGGAGAGCCCTCACGAAAGATGGCATCCAAAGTTCTTAGAGTGAGCACAATCACTGGCATATTTCCACGCATCGTAGCGAAACGTGGCCGTAGGCATAGGTCGGCCAGATATGCGAAGCTCACTCAGGCTGAGCAAATATATTTTGGGCTTAGGCCTCACTTAGACCCAGAGTCAGCAAAATTTTTCTCAACCGGACTCGCTCCCACGCAGACTCAACCAGATATTACTCACCCGAACTCACTGATACTGAGATTCTCGGCTTGATCTCAGTCAGTGTCAGTCTCAGTGAGTCGACCTATATAAGAGTGCGTTTGCCGACCTATGGCCACAGGTGTTTTGGGAACCAGCAAGCTCTTCTGTTAAACCAAATTTCTAAATACACCTTGCACCTATTGCAGGAGTTTTTTTTTTCGCAGAATTGTACTTGTCACCGGGTTCGCTCGCACTTCCTCATTAAATAAAATCTGCGCTCGGCAGTTGCCTATCATGAGTGTTGTGCCACGCTGAGCGCTCTCATGCCATTGGTGAACAAAAAACACGGATCGAGCTATCTTAATGCTAGGAATGGGTCACAAGGTAAATGGTTATTGCTCTTGTGCAACAAAAATACCAGCCGAATCGAGCAAGTGTGTTTAGAGCGTACCCTACAGGTTTGACAAATAAGGGGAGATCCCACGTATATTTCAAGGAAACTTGGTGCAATTTTACTCTTAACGAATTTATCTGTTTTGTCAATCACAATGCAGGTTGATAGATGACTTCACAAATATTTATTGTACAGGCGTGTGAACGTACTATTCTCGTATGTGTTTCTTAAAGGTACGTTATGTTCAACGTTACTTCTCAAATCAAACCTGTTTCAGTGCACCACATTTACTGATTACGGCAATCCACACTGTTCTGATCAAGCTTCCTTTGTGAGAATCTTTCATGGTTTCCCTGTCCAAGGTTGTTTGTGCTGTTGCCCCGCTACCATAGAAGTATTTGACCATATAATTCCCAGAAACAGCAATATCTGCCTTCATGCACAATAGCCCAATGTTCTAACCGTTAGCCCACTACTGAGCACCACCCAGAACAAGTGAATGAGAAAGCCATTGCCTGCCTGCTTAAGGCCGATCTCAACCATCTTCTCAATTTTACGTGGCCTCCGAGATCAGCTTTGACCGCGCGACAGAACACAAGGTTAATCCAAGAATTGCACCCTGACATTCGAACGCCAACTTGCGAGTTGTGCCACCGGACATCTACGTCAAGCAAAAGGGTCACCTCCAATGTTTTTGGGCTGACCAGCAATGCCGAGCATCCACTGATGACACACACACACACACACACACACACACAAACACACACACACACACACAAACACACACACACACACACACACACACACACACACACACACACACACACACACACGTGCGCGCACACACACACACATGAATTTAGTCAGCTCCGCCTGGCGGACACTGACGTGATACAGCGAAGGTAGTGGTGTGCAATGAGGCTTAATTAAGTGGGTTAATAAAGTGAATGATGTGGCAAGGAAGTACGTTGGAACGAAGGGGGAATGAAAAGGTAATAGCGGCGGGAGCACTCGGAGGTGTAGTGGTCAGTTGTGGCAGTTGTACGTAGTGGAGGCTGTGGGAGGAGTGGCACCTAGCCGCAGTGGGATTCACCTACTTTCGGTGGGTAAATTATACTGTGTATGATCTGTGACGGTCCCGGGATATGAAAGCCTCGACCACGAACAGCTTCGCTGTTTAAACAAAAACAACAAAAACAGTCGTCACGAGCTCCGAGTGTCAGGTTTGAAACTGTGAGCACTGTATACGTGGCGAAGAGCAGTACGCGTCGACATCTCGTTTTTGTGTGTGTGTGTATGTGCGTATGTGTGACGTATACCAAGCTCGCTTTGGTGCTGTTGTAACTGTGGTACAAATGATCTCACACGCAAGTGATCGCATTGGGGTTTGTTGGATGTTGTTCGTTGACGGGGTGATGTTCGTTGATTGTTGAATAAAGAATAAGTACTGGTGGTCGCACAGGGTGTTCATTATTTTCTGTACTAATTGAAACATTTTATTCTGATAAAACTAAAAAATACTAAAAAATATACGCAGAGAACTAGGTCACTCGACTGAATTTCTGTAAGTACAACGTTAAATTTCTCTTTTGTTCATTGTTTTGTACCCACTGCTTTGCCGCATTGAGCAATAGCATTGCTGAGGACCTACATAATGTTATTTGTATGGTTTTACCCTCTTAGCGCAATAGTCTTAAGTATTACGCGACGCCGATGGCTTTGCCCGTGAGCAAGCGATCCCCATGATCGAAATGTAAAAATTGTGGTTTGAGCCGCAAACAGACAGAATAATTCTGGGTCGTAGTTACGTATTCCACCGCAAGGCATTCTAACGTATACCTGTAACAGAAGCCGCATCCTAAAAAAGAAAAGAAAGCTTGCACCGACATGCCTATGGATGAGGAGTCACATTAGCGGGAAGAATCGCCAGATAAAAACTTGAAACCAAATCAAGTGACATGCCACGTGAATTTTCAATTTCTCTGGCGGTATGACAAGCATCTTCAGTGTCAACTACAGTTGACACTGAAGATGTTTAACTTCGCAGATGTGTATCTGGCGTATTGCATTATAGAGGCGTACGTATAGTGCACATTTCGCTACAAAATAATAATATCCATACTAATAATATTATGCGGAGTTTTACACCCCAAAACCACGAGTTGATTAAGGGACGCCGAAGTGGAGGGCTCCGGAAATGTTCACCATCTGGCCTGCTCTAACATACACTGACTTCGCACAGCGCACGAACCCGTAGAGTTTCACCTCAATCGGAATGTGACCGCCACAGCCATATTCGAACCCGCGACCATCTGGCCAGCAGCCGAGCAGCGTAACTCGCTACTTTGTAAAATGACGAATTCTGATCACTGAACAAGGTTGATTGCGCTAGATGCCCTATGAGAGTTCGCTTACGGAACCGCTGAAACGGTTTACTTACGGAACCGTTGCAGCGACGACCAAAGCATGCGGCTAGCGAACGAAAAAGAGTCATCGGAAGCGATGACTGCTCGTGATGCGGGGAAAGTTTGAGCTCCGGAACGGACGGGCCGGCCCCAATGTTCAGCTGCGGCTCAGGTTCGGTGGTCCGTTCTAAACGCAGTGCCCTGCGCCCTGTATGAAAGGCGCAGCCCTGTAACACCAGGGGTCTCTAGACACGGCCCACCCAGACCTCTCGCTAGCAGCCAGTCCGCATGTGGCTGTCTTCGTCCCATATTTTTTTCATTATTACATATGTTCACAAGTCACAAAGAAATGATTGTTCTCAATTCGTTATTTCGTGACGCACCCCATTCGGCCACCACGTGTTCATATCGAACTATCTGACTGTAACAAATATGGCCTTTTGAGAGAACGATAAAATAAACCAATCTCATCAACCGAAAATTATTATTTGTTTGGACAAATATACACAATCGTCAGACCTTTTCATTCAAAATGGGTATTTACAAAGTGTTTCAACAAAGTAAGGCTCAGCTGCTTCCACGATGACCACTTCTCCGTAATACTTGTTATGAATGAGCCATTCTAATGCGCCACGAATTACTTATGCTTCACGACTGAATATGCATGACTTGTTAATTTGTACAGAAGAAGTAATATGTAAGAGGATATGTAAATCTGCATGGGTTATCGCACACAAGATGAAAGGATAATTTACGAGACGCCCTTACATGCGAGTGTTCCTACATAGAGCAAACCGACAGATTTTTAAATGAGCTGTTCAGACTTCATGAATGAAACGTTCAGCGGAATGAAGAAGGCCCGAATTCACCTAAGCATATTATGAACTGCGCTTCAAGCTCTTCTGGACTGCGCTTTCCAGACTTGCGGGTAATCGCCAGAAGCATAGAAAAAAGGACCCGAAGATTGAATGGGGCGTTGTGTATTGGCAAGAAAGGTGACATGGCGTTAGTGACATTTATTCAGTATTCTATAAAATCGAGAAAAAGGTACATAGAGCATACTTTATCCAACTACCATTAATGTTAACATATTGTGTGTGCATGAGCTGGGAAGAATATATGCTGGGTTTTCTTTTCTGAAAGAGCCAAGTGCGCTTTTACTGGAACGCATGGGCTGCTCCCCTCGTCGCCAATACTTGGAGAACACGCGATAACCGGCCCATCTGTTCTGCGTGCGGCGGCCCTGGCCATATCATTCGTTACTGCCGTCGTCGCGTGCCAGGATACACAGACGGCCGGACACAGAACCGCTTCATGGACCATCCTCCATCTCGTCTGGAAAATTCTGATCCTCAGTCAAGCTCGTCTTCACGAGAATGTCCGCGTACTATGTCTGGTTGCTCACCTTCACAAGTCGTCGCTCCCTGTCACCCATGCGTCGTCGGCCAGCCCCTGAACACGAGGGAATCTAACCGCCACAGTTCAGGAGGCAAGAACTGCGCTGTCTAAATGCTCAAGTCCTTGGACATTGCCGTCGAATATTGTCGAAGTTTTTGTAGAAGGTACTCGAGCATATGCTCTAGTGGATACCGGTGCTGCCGTTTCCGTGATAGAAGCTAAACTTTGCCGCAAGTTCCGAAAAGTGACGACACCTCTTAATATGATGTCCTTGCAAACAGCGAATGGGGACACGGTTCAACCTGTAGCCACCTGTACTGTCCAACTGATGATCGCGAAGGACCACTACACTGTTGAGTTTTACGTCCTTTCATCATGCTCACACGACATCATATTTGGATGGGATTTTTTATCGCGTAACCATGCCGTTATTGATTATGCAAGATCGGAACTTGAACTTTTCCCGTTTTACGACCAACCAACCAGCCTCATCCAGCCCACCGTACACAAACTGGTCGTCAAGGAAGGCACTGAAATTCCTCCGACAGCAGCTGTGTTTCTCCCCGTGTTCTGTGACGGCATTAGGGACAAAGCTGCCTTCGTTGAACCATCAAGCCTCTTCCTTAGTCGAAGATCACTTCTTCTGCCTTATTCAACCCTCTCCATTTCTGAAGGAAACATTGCTCTTTGCCTCATCAATCCTCTTCCGTATCCCGTCGAACTCTTTCAAGGTGAATCTCTTGGACACGTGCATGCCATTGATGAGGAACAAATTTTTACCATGCCGCCAGATTGTTCCGGTGACTACGACGCCATAAGTGCCCTCAACCCTTCCAATATACCACCTTCCAAGCTTTTCGATTCATCGATTGCCGACGGACTATCGCCATCTGAACGCTCTGAGCTTCTTCAGCTGCTCTATCAGTTTCGTGAATCCTTTGACGTTGCTTTATCTACCCTTGGTTCCACACCAAGTTTTTTTCACTGCATCGACACAGGTTCCAAAGCGCCAATACGACAGCGACCATACCATGTTTTCGCCACGGAACGTAAGGTTATCACCGAACAGGTTGACGATATGCTCAAGTGCGACGTTAACCGACCTTCCCAAAGTCCATGGGCATCACCTGTCGTTCTTGTTAAAAAGAAGGATCAAACAACTCGCTTCTGCGTTGAGTACAGGCGCTTAAATAAGATCACTCGCAAAGACGTATACCCTTTGCCTTGGATTGATGATGCCCTTGATTGCTTACAAGGTGCCGAGTTTTTTCGTCGTTAGTTTGCGTTAGGTGTATTGGCACGTGCCCTTAGCAGATGGTGATCGTCCAAAAACAGCCTTCGTGACACCTGACGGGCTATATGAGTTCAATGTCATGCCCTTCGGCCTCTGCAATGCGCCCGCCACATTCGGGCGCATGATGGACTCGGTTCTGTGGGGTTTGAAATGGAACATATGCCTCTGCTACCTCGACGATATCGTCGTTTTTGCACCCGATTTCACAACACCTCTTGTACGCCTGAAACATGTTCTTACGTGTCTGAAGAATGCGCAGCTCCAAATGAATCTCAAGAAATGCCACTTCGCTGCTCGGACGCTCACCATTCTCGGTCACGCCTTATCAAAGAATGGCGTTCTTCCCGACCCGGCTAAACTACGCGCAGTCGCTGAATTCCCCGAACCGACGACAGTAAAACAGTTACGCAGCTTCGTAGGATTGTGCTCCTACTTTCGTCGGTTTGTGTGCAACTTTGCCTCCATAATTGCTCCTTTGACCCAACTTTTAAGCAGTGCCAACGACATCTCATCATGGTCTTCCGAACGTGATCACGCATTTACCGCTCTTCGCCGTCTCCTGACATCACCGCTTATATTTCGCCGCTATGATCCCACGGCTGCAACTGAAATCCATACAGACACCAGCGGTGTCGGTCTCCGTGCAGATCTCGCTCAACACAAGCCTGGATCCCCTGTGTATGTAGTCGCCTACGCCAGCAGAACACTGAACAAGGCTGAGGTAAACTACAGTGTTACCGAAAAAGAGTGCTTAGCCATAGTTTGGGCGATTGTGAAATTTCGCCCATACTTATATGGCCGCACCTCTGCTGTAGTTACAGACCACCATGCCTTATGTTGGTTGCCGTCGCTGAAGGATTCATTAGGTCGCCTTGCTTGTTGGGCTCTGCGACTTCACGAGTATGAAATCCGCGTCGTGTACCGTTCCGGCCGCCAACATGCCGATGCGCTCTTACGAACACCACTGCCCACTGAGGCTGCCTGTATATCTTCTATAGAACACGCGCTGTCCGCTCTTGACATCGACTTAATGACCTCTGCACAGCGCGAAGATCCATGGATAACTTCGCTTCTGGACGTCTTATCTGGTGTACCGACACTTCCCACCACTCGAGCAATGCGTCGCCAGGCTTCGCACTTCACCATTCGAGGTGGCCTCTTGTACCGGCACAATTGCTCACCAGACGGCAGGAAGTGGCTGCTCGTTATTCCCCGAAAGCTGCACTCTACAATCTGTGCATCATTTTACTCCGACCCGCAATGCGCTCACGCCGGTGTCTTCAAGACCTACGAACGTTTAAGGAAGTGGTACTACTAGCATGGGATGTTTACTTTTGTTCGACGGTTTATTCGCGGCTGCCA